GGGGGGGGGGGGTTGGTGTTAACATATAATATCCTGGCACTTTTCTTCTTCTTTGTCTGTTGGTATCTGAAATAGTAGACAACAGTTTCTTTAATCAACAGTGCTGGTAGGTTTCAGGTATACTGCTGTAATCTTTTCAAACTCATGTGTTAAAAAAAAGTGTTGGTTACAGAGCAGAACATACCTCCGTCACCGTCAAGAGGGTTGAATATACAAGACCCTGGAACTACTGAAAGCAAATTTTAGGAGAGAGAGGAAAAAAGCTTGTTTCATTCTATTAACAATTGCACCTACATTATATTGTTGTTTTTTTAACAATTAGATTTCAAATTCGGACAAAGTATTTCTTGAGTCCATTCAACCGATGAAACAGATCAAGAGAGTGCAATGTCTTTTTGAAATTCAAAAGTGAACAGCTGATCGTCGGTACGATTGTTACACTGTATTTGGAAAATGATGAGGTATCTTGCTCGATGACGCATCCAGCTGTTACCCATTAAAAAGCTATTGAAAACACAACGCTTGATCCAGCTTATTCTCTTACACTTAGCGCAAGTCGTGGGTAAATGAATTTCGAGTTAAGGGTAGTCTACTTCATGCAGAGACATGTGGTGGCCAAGTGGTTTAGACTCTCAGACTTTCAACCGTAAGGTCGTGGGTTTGAATCCCTTCAGGGGCCCGACGTTGTGTCTTTGGGAAAGGCACTTTACACTAGTACAGTTTTCCTCACTTCCCCCTGGTGAGAATGGGTACCCGACTATAGACAGCGACAGATCTTGTTAATTTGCGTGAAATCCGCAGCTTGCACTGTATGCCTCCTTGAGAGCCAAGAATGTTTCTGAGCCGTGTTCTATGGTCTGCTGGGCTAAAAATAGTCGTAAAGTGCATAGAGCATGCTGTAGAGTCTGGAATGGGCTATAAAAATGCAATTATTATGTACATGTACATGTATTATTATTAATAAATTATCCGTCGTATCTAAAACCAAGCGAGACAACTTCTTAAAAGCTTCTCTCATCGTTATATATCGATATTAGCTCCCTTGTCTACTCGTTTCCGACTAGTTGCTCAT